TAGAGAGAGAGGCATGGGTCTGCAGGGATCAAGGCAAGGGCTGGGTAGAATGAGGGTCCCCATCTCTCCTAGCTGGGGGACACTGGATGCCCAGTGCTTGGAGGGCAGGCCTTCCCAGCCTCAGTTTTCCTGCTTGTGACCTGGGTTTGAACCATCCTGGGCCGTCACCTGATTTCTCCAGGTGTCCAAAACTTGAATGAAGTCACTCATAGGGGCTGTGCTCATATTTCATGGAGGCCTGAAATTTCTGAGATGTGGAAAAGGCTGGAAGGGGCAGGCAGGGGGTACACAGGAGCAGACAGAAGGACAGCTAGTCAGAGGAAGGCTTGGCAGGGCAAGGAGAAGACCACTGAGGCACGCACACACCTGAGGCGCTGAACTGGCCTGGGCACCTGAACACTGATTTGCTTGGACCTGCCTCTGCTCCTTGACCAGGGGTCTGGGACAAAGTCCTGGGCTGGTGCAGAGTTTGGTAAAAAAATAATTAATTTTTTTTTTTTTTTCAAGTGAAAGCTCTGACTCAGGCCTTTTCCTGTTCCGAATAGCAACATCCTTGCTTAGGCCTGAACCACAGAAGCTGCTCACGGCTATCCACGGCCTTCCCATGGCCAATTTGAGTCTGTTCTGTGGCTCCAGGCCCTACTTGGACAGTCTTGTGGGTTCCAGGTGAGTGGGGTGCAGGGGAGCCCTGGGACTTGAGTGTAGCTGGAAGAGGGGAGGCTCGGGGCCCTCGTTTGGTTAGTGTGTGTGTCCCTGTGCCCGCAGGGCAGATGAGGTATGCCTACTAGGAGATACCTACGGATCTGGTGTTACTGCAGCAGGGGGCTGTGATCATGTGGCCAGAAGGGACAGAAATCCCACAACTACAGCCGCCTGCCCCAGGAGTATTCTCTGCTTGGGACAGGGCAGCCCAGTCCCCTGTGTCCCAGCTTCCTGCCATTTGCCTCCCTGAGAAGTGAGAAAGCCAGGCCTCCTGCTGCAAGGGGAGGGGGCTGCCCAACCAGCTGCCTGGGAGCCTCCAGTGACTCAGCCGGGTGGGGGGTGTTTATGAGCAGCCGAAATGGCTGTAAAAGTGGCACCTCGGCTCACTTATGGCCTGGCCATCCCTCCCCAGTCAGCCCCTTGCGCTGAACAGCTTCCAGAGGGGCCTAGGAACCTGGAAAGAGGTCTGGGATTGAGGCCTGGTGGAGGCTCAGCCGGGGGTCAGGGTTCAATCTGGGGTTAGAGATCAGACTGGGATAGGGATGCAGGGGTAAGGCGCGGGGGTTAAGCTAACTCTGGGGTCAGGGCTGAGGTTGGGACTCAGGCTGACTTTGGGGCTAGGGTTGAGGGAAGGAAAGATGTAGGGGTGCTGTCTGTGGGCTAATTCTCCCAGACAGCCTCCAGGCTAGGGCAAGGGGTTTTCTGAGGGAGTGAGGCCAGGCTGCAGAGGTCTCAGAGGGCCTTTGTTCTTCCTGTTTGAGCCTGGTGCCCACTCTGGCCCCAGGGTCTGTGTGCCTTGGCCGGAGCCCTACTCATGGTGGCAGTGGCAGTAGTAGAGGCCTGTCAGCCCAGGGCTGCTGAACCGGAGTCCGGCCCCAGTTCTGAGCTCTGGACCGCTTTAGCCCCTCCTCCCAGGCCCCAGCCTGGGGGTCAAAGAGGGGGGTCCCTACAGGGACTTATACCCACTCACCACCCCCAACCAGGTCTTTCCAGACACCATTGAAACTGACCTGAAACTGACCAGAAACTGACCCTGGGGCCCTGGGGCTTGCCTGTCAAAAAGGGTGGGCTGTGCTCTGCCAGGCACTGGAGCGCTACCGGTTAATGTGTGACACCCCCAACCCCCATGGTGGTACTTTAACCAGAGGCCTGGGGCTGATTTAGGGGGTCAGAGGCCCCACCCACAGTGGTGGAATGTCCAGCAGAAGTCTGGACTGAGGCACATGAGTTATAGCTAAGGAAACACACTTAAGGGGCCCAGAGCCCATTAGATCCGTCTCTGCAGCCCTATCCATAGCCCATCCTGGTCCTCCCAAGCACAAATACTGTTTGCTTCTCAATCTCAAGGTTGCTGGTGTCAGATCTGAGAAGGATCCCCTGTGTCAGCCGCTGCTCTACCCCTCAGTGCCTCCAGTCCCTCCGTGAATGTTCTTTTCCTATCATCAAGGGCTGTGGGTCATCCAGTCATAAAACTTGGGATCGAATTGCTTAGAAACAGAGACATAAAACTTCTCTGAAGAATCTCAAGTGTTTTGAGGTGCCTGCTCTGGGCACCTGAGCCTCTCTGTTCCTGTTCCAGAAGAGCCCATGCATCATAGGGAGCAGCCCCCAAACCAGAGCGGCTTCAACCTCCCCATTAACGGAAGAGACAGAGACGCAAGGAGACAGAGATGGCCTTTATGTCAGGCAAAGAAGTATGATCCTGGAAGAGCAAACTACAAAGGCAAATGCAGGGGAGTGAGCACAGAAAGAGGGCCAGGAGTCTAGTGAACTAGAGTCACCTTTGGAGGAAACTGCCTCCAACAGCGCAGTCCTTAAACACCAGGACGAGAAACTTGAGGGTGGTGGGCATGGAAGAGAGTATGGCCATAGAAATGTGAAGGAGACCGCTGTGGGTACAGTCTGGGAGATGGGTGAGTTTGAGCAGGGAGGGACAGGTTGCCAGGAAAGTTGGCTGCAACTGGATTCCAGTAGCCTTAGGGCTTGTGCACTCATTCACCTTGAAGAAATGGGCCGACCCTGAGACATGGGGCCGGTTTGAGGGCTTTGAGGAGCTCGATTTCCACAGGCTGAGCCTGGGGAGCCCTCAGAGTCCACTGGTCTCTGGGAAACCCAGAGAGATACCCACCCTCCGAGGCACTAAAACAGTAAAGTCAAAAGTGCCCTTTGAATCAGCTGGTCAGCTTCCCATTTTACAGATGAGGAAACTGAGGCTCAGACAGCAGGAGAGTCATCGTGTCCAGGATTACACAACTGGTAAGTGGGTGAGCTGGGTTGCCACTTAAGGTCCCGACAGTCACATTAGCTTCCTCCTGAAGATCCCTAGAGCCCTCTGCTTCAGGCATCCCCCGGCCTTCGCTGCACCTCAGCTTCCCCACCAGATAGGTCGTAGGTTTGGGGTCCAAGGCCCCCTCCGCTGAGCCCGACTCTCCGGGGCTGGGCGGGTGCACATAAGCCCGGCCCCCGCCTGGCCCCAGCCCCCAAAACCTCCTCCCGCCCTTCTCCCAAGTCGAGGGTCCCCAGTGCGCCAGAGCCGGCCAAGAGCTTTTGGGGGTGTGAAAGGGTGGAAGAGAAAGGCGGAGCTTCACGGTGGGGGGCTCAGCTGAGTCTAGGGTCTTGCAGCCTTTAGCCGCCCGGGGTGGAGTCAGGGGCGGAGCTACAGGGGCCCGGCCGGCGTCAGGATGGGTCTAGATTCGGAGAGACCCGGACCCGGGAGAGAAACTGGGGAGGGAGGGAGAGGGGTGTGAGGCCAGAGACGCGGGCAGGGACGGGGGCGGGCCTAGGGCGCAGCACACCGACCCACTCGGGAGCTCCCTGAGCTGGGGGTCCAGGAGAGGGCGGGGCGGCCGGGAGGGCGGCGGCGGCGGCCGAGCCAGGCTCTGGGGCTGGCGGCCGAGCCGCCTCCCCGGGGATCCCGGTCCAGCCTGAGCGGGAGTCCCGCGGGCGGACAGACAGCGCTGCAGCCGGGGGCCCGCGGGGTACCGCCCGTGAAGAGGGCCTGTTTGCGCGGCTGAGGGCCCCTATTCACCGGCCCGGGCCGGACGATCAGAAAAAAAATAAATAACGTCTGTGCCTTCCCGGAGAGGAAAATGAAGCGGCGGCAGCGGCTCGCGCCACGTTCTTGGGCCCCGATGTCAGAGCTCCCAGCCCCGTCCCCTGCACACTCACATCCCGCCGATGTGCGACCCCTGGCCGCGGCCTCTAGAGAATCTTCCCGGAGCAGGGGCCGCGGGCTCCGCTCCGCACACCCGCGTCGGAGACGGCGGAGGGGAGCGGGGGGCGGAGAGGCCCAGGGAGGGCGCGGGGGAGGGAAGAGGCGCCCGGGCCGCGGGGGGAGGGGGAGCGGCAGACGCCGAGGCGAGGGACGCGCGCGGCGGGCGGCGGCTCTGAGCGGCGGCCGGGCGGGGGGCGCTGGAGGCCAGGCCGGCCAGGGGGGGATCCCAAGAGCTCCATGAAGTCCCCCCGGGGCCGCGGACGGGGCGCTGTCCTGGGGAGGCTGTCGGGGGATCCCCGACACCCATGGCTAGGCGGGGGCCGCGGCGGCGCGCTCGGAGTAAGTCGGGGTTGAGGGCCAGCAGTGAGGGGAGGGGGCTGGAGGTGGGGAGGGTAGACTCTCGGCCCGACCGGGGCGGGCGGGCTGGTTTGTCTCGGGTTCAGCGGCGCCTCTTCCGAGCCCCGTGGAGCCGTCAGCCCCGTGCCGCTCGGCTCCGTGGCTTTTTTGGAAACTTGCAAATGTTTTCGTAGAGAGAAAAGGGGGAGGGGAAGGAAGGAGCGAGGGAGTGACCGAAACGGAGCTCGGGGCTGCTGGAAGAACGGAGGCCAAGGCCGGGGGAGCTAGAGATGGACTGACAGACAGGCAGACAGACCGAGCGTCCCGGCCGCAGGCGCGCTCTAGCGGCGCGGGCGCAGGCGGGGCTCCGGCCGAGGATGGAGAGGGAGTTGCCGGAGCCTGCCGCCGACTGGATGGGGTTCAGAGGGGGCCGAGGGGCGAGGAGCTGGCGGCCTGATCCTCGAAGGGTTCAGCGTCGTTGCAAAGTTGGGCTAGAGTACCCAAGCTGCACGCCCCGAGCTGCGCAAAACGCGCCCCCCGCCCCGCCCCCCGACTTGCGCTAGCAGCGGAGCTAAAAATAACAGTCCCGGTGGCCCCCCGCAGACCGCGACCCCAACCCCTCCCCCGACCCCTCCCCCCACTGGGCGTGGGGGCAAAGCCACAGCTTCCGCCCGCCGCCCGCCCGGCCCCCGGCTGCCTCCCTTCCTCCCTCCCTCTCTCTCCTTTGCGCTCGCTCGCTAGCCCTCCGCGCATGGGCCCCGCGCCGGGCCCCGGGGCCTCGGGCCGCCGGGCCTCCGGGGTCCCCTAGGCCGTGGCGTGGGCGGGGCAGCCCGGCCTGACGCAGCTCTGTACCCCACCACCACCACCACCACCAGGGCCGGCGGCGGCGGCTGCCCCGAGGGACGGGGCCCTAGGCGGTGGCGATGGGGGCCGCCCGGATCGCGCCCGGCCTGGCGCTCTTGCTCTGCTGCCCGGTGCTCAGCTCCGCATACGCGCTGGTAAGTCACCCGCTCACACTCCTGGACAGGCTCCGGGCTTGCTCTGGGGTCCCTGGAGGGGGGATGTGTGTCCAGGGCTCAGAGGCTTGAGTTACCCCCAATAATCTGAACTTTGGGTGGGGATCCCCTACAGCCCGGCATCCTTGGTGCCTGCTGTCTCTGGGATGCCTGGACACTGGGCTGCAGATTGCCTATAAGGTTTCCTTATTTCTGAAGCCTGGGGTTGGGGTCCCAGGTCTTGAAATCTGTGTTTGGGGTTCTCCTGTCTTCTGCTTCTAAGAGCACCTCTGCTCTGTGTCTCCCTTGAAGATGACAGTGTGATCTAGAAGAAGACTGGGCTTTGGCTCTGACGTTGGATCCCACAGACTTTGCTCTGGGGGCCTGTGTTTTCTGCAAGTTTTGTTTGCAATCTGGGACACAGGGCTGTTGGAATGAGGTCAGGGGGTAGGGTTTAGGGACCCCCTCCAGTTTGCACCATTGCACGCGCACACACACATGCTTGCACTCATGTCCAGCTTCACCCAGACTGGAAGATGTCTGCCCAGGGAGGCGGGTATGGTGTGGTATATGGAGGAGGGATGGAGGTCCCCTGAAGGAGACTGACCTCACAAAACACTCCCACAAGAGAAACTCTATCGGGTGCGTGAGGGGACCCACGTTGTACCCTCCTGAGAGCAGAGGCCAAGAAGGGACCAGAGGGAGAAGCGACAGAATAGGAGATGAGGTTAGACAGAAGAGAGAGACAGAGACAAAGGATGGGAGTGAGACCTCCCCAGGGCAGGAGGAGTAGATAGACCAAGAATAGCAAAGAAAAATAGGGAGAGACTGGCAGGGGCTGAGAGCTGGAGGCACGAAGCATGAGTACCCTCCTCATTCTGGGCCAGGTCTGGGATGATTTCCTGGGGCGTCAATCGGATACCACAGCAGCCCTGTCTCGGGGGACCAGCCGTTGCTGAGGAGACTGTCCGCCTGTGCATCTGACTTCAAGGCCCCGGTTCCTCCCCCTCACCTCCCAGGTGTGGGTATTTGCCTTCTAAAGAGACAGGCGGGCGGCCCATTCCTGCCCGGCTCCCTGTCCACGGGGAGCCCCAGGCAGGAAGGCGGGAGCTCTTAGATTCCTCCAGTTCTGCCAAAGCCTGTGTAACCTTGTGCAATCCTTCTCCCCACCTCAGTTTCCCTATCTGTAAAAAGACACCAAGAAAGAAACATTTGCCTAAGAGTTCCCTGATCTACAGCTGTCCTCTTCTCTGCTGGCTTTAGCACATCCCATTCACTGTTGCCCATACCCACACAGCATGGCACCCCAAAGCCAGAGACATCACCCCATACAAGGATTTGTTGATGAGGAAACTGAGGTTCAGAGATGATCAGCACCCTGTGCAGGCGTGCTGCAAAACCCTGGTGAATGCCAGGGTCCAGAGCTATTTCCTAGCCTCCCCTCGGGCCAGGGTCACCTTTACCAGGGCCCCTTCCAAGTTGTGTGAGCATAACCACTGTGCAGAGCCAGCCAGCATGGTCTGTGGACATGCATGTGTGCAAGCGACTGTTGAGGAATAGACAGGTCATGGGCGTGGGTGACCTGTGAGTGTATCTGTGTCTCCAAGAGGGGCACAGTGGGACTCGGAGAGTGGTATTCTCTGGGTCTGTGTGAGTGCGAATGTCCGAGTCCTTGTGTGAGTTCTTGGGTGTCTGAGGCTGTAAGTCTGCACGTGACTTGCAGGAGCATGGTTGTGCATACATGTGTGTTGTGTATTTGTGATCACACTTGCACCCAGGTCTGTTTTTTTTCCTTGTTTTTATTGAATAAATGCTTCTGTAGTGCTGTCTACTTACCAAACACTGTTCTAAGCACTTTACAATATTAGCTAGTTCAATCTTTCCAACAACCCTCTGAGAAAGGGTTCTGTTATTGTCTCCTTTAACTGACCTTCACACAACTGATAATGACCATTATTTGTTGCATCTCCACAATGGTCAAGCCCTGTGCCTCTATGAGGGACCCATGGGGACCCACACTGATTTCCAGGGAAACTGAGGCACATGCAAAGAATTTGCCTGGCTTAGCCCTGGCCCACGGCTGAGGGTAGAGGAAGAGAAAGGATGCCAGGGCTGGGACCTTATTGGAACATCCACGACTGGCACACAGGACATGAGCACATTGAACCTTCCCTGGCTCTGGGGATAGGGGACATGGCCCGAGGGTTCCCCCAACAGCCTGTGGGCCCCCTGGGCTCAGCTGCAGCCAGCAAGAAACTCAGTCTGCCTACATCCTCTCCTACATCCAGTGGATATCACTTCATCCTCAGCGGATAGCTTCCCATCAGCAAACCTACATGCTGCCCACCCAACTGGCCCCAGTCCAGGGACCTCACAGTTGCAGGACCAAAAGGTCTCCCGGTGGGAGGATACTCGCTGTGGCCAGACTCAGCTGATCCATCTTGTGCCTTCCATCTTTTCTCTGCCAGAAAAGAGTAGCTGTAAGGTTGAGGGTCAGGTAGGGTGACGTTTGGAGGAAGAGATGGGCCGGCAGATTTTGAGTGCGGGAGCGGGGAAAGGGGTGGTCTTGTCCTTGGGGATGCCTCACCCTACCGACACCCTCGGCATGCACACTGTGAAGGAAAAACTGCAGTGGGAGCAGCCGAAGGTCGGCATTGTGGGGTTGGGAGGGGCAGGCTTAGAGTGTAGAGATATGACCTCAGGGTCAGACTCAGGAGAGGCGGTGGTGGGTGGGATTCCACGGAAGCACTCCCAGCATGCCCCAGGGTCAGCTAGCCAAGGGGCTCGCTTTTATAGACAGGGAGGAACTGACATGTAATGAACAGTGGCTGTCCCCAGATTCTGAGCTAGGAACCATCACAAGTCTTTTCTCATTCCATCTGTTCCTCCACCCATTTTATGGGAAAGGGCCCTGAGGGTCACACAGTGGGTCTGTGCCCCAGGTTGGATTTCAACTCGGGTCTTCAGACACCTGCGCTGAGCTTCTTCCTCCAAAGTAGGATGAGGGCTTGTGCTGGCAGGAGATCCCTATATCTCCCTCTGGTTTCCTTTTTCCTCTTTTTCTTTCTTTCTAGTAGAATCCTTTGGCTATTTTCCTTTTATTTTCTTATTTTAATTTCAGAACTATACTTGAATATGTTCTTTCTTCTTGAATAGAAGATTCAAGTAATACAGATTAAAGAGACGTTAACCTTGATTCCTCCCAAACCCCATTCTCCATGCTGGAGAAAAAGCTTTTTTAAAACAGTCTGGGTGGGAGATGTTCTCCTAGAGCTTTTTCTCCAAAAAGGTCCCTTTGGTGTCCATACAAAGTAGATAGTTTTAGCCTGTTGTTCTGTTTGTTTTCTTAATAAATGATGGCAGTTTGTAGATAAGGGCTCTGCCATATGCATTTTTCTACTTAAAGGTGTATCTTGGAGACCTTCATGTCAGTAAATATAAATCTGTCTTTTTTAATGCTGCATAGTATTCCCAAAGCCTGAGATTCATTAGCAGTCCCTTGGACTGTACATTTAGATCATTTCTGCATAATATTTGAGTGTGTGTGTGTGTGAGAGAGAGAGAGATTTCAGATGGCGGCAGAGAAGCCCCTTGAAATGCCTTCCTGTGTCCTTGTGCAACCGTTTCCTTGTAGGATATTTCTAGATCCTATCATTGCTGGGTCTGAAAACATGCTTTTTTTTTTTTTTTTTTACTTCAAGAGACATGGCCAAACGGCCCTCTAAAACACCCGTGCAGGTTTATACTCTCGGCCCTAGAAGTGACTGACCTACAGGTCTCTAACGCATACTCCCTGTTTCAGGGGATAGTCTGAAGATTCTTTTCCTTACCTTTGCTGTGGGATCTCTTGTCATTTTAATGAGAATTACATGAAAAACGGTGTCTCTTGTCATGTTAATTTGCTAATGACCAGTGAGCCTCTGGACTGGTACACTGGTTTATGGTCCATCCTCTTAAGAGCTTGCTCAGAGCCATTACCCCTTTCTATGGGTTATTTGTCTCTTTTTTTTGTATTGATTTGTTGAAGCTTTTTATATCACCTGCCCTTAAACACCCCATCCCTCCACCCGCAGCTCTGGGAGCGCCTGTGGACAGAGCAGGAGGAGGGGGCTGAACCCTCCCGGGAATTTGGGTTTTCTTCGGAATGTTTTAATGAGGCGTCAAGAGGCCTCCCCCAGATTCCTGTTGTGGGCCTTCTGGGGACACTCCCTGGTCCGGCCACCACATCAGGAAGGCAGCTCTTTCAGAAAGTCCCCAGGAAAAAGAAAGGGTGGGGTGGGGGTTTGCAGATGCCAGAAATTGTCTGCAAAATACAGTGCGACTGGGAGAGGGTGCAGAGTTTTGCTCAGATTCTCAGAGACCTCAGAAACCTCCAAACCTTTCAGAACCCCCAGCTCTGGAACCTGCCTTGTGCAGAAGTGAGACTTGGAAAGATTCTGTCTTGCTGACCACCTTATGGTTAGGCTAGTTCATACCATCCTTTTGGGCCTCGCTCCCCCAGCCCAGGTAGAGGCTGCCTGTGAAGATCCACTGGGTCCTAGCAGCCAACTCTGCCACCCCAGGCTCCATCCCACTGCCTGCCCTGAAGGCGTCCACGTTGGCCAGGATGAGAGGCGTCACAGTGCCTCCCCCAGCCCCTCCCAGCCCCGAACACAGGCAGCCTGTTCAGGAAGGCCAGGCGAGGGGGAGGAAAAGTCAGCACTTGTCAGCGGTGGCGTGGCGGGGCAGGAGTGTCCCCGGCAGGGAACCCGTCCCAGCCTGCTCCGGCCAGCCAGACAGACGGAGGGCAGCAAGGGGCAGGGAGCAGTCCCCAGCCAGCTGGCATGGGAGACATCGAGGGGTGCCAGCACAGGTCCCAGTAGTGGAACCTGGAGAAGAGGTGCAGGAAGGCCAGGAGGTCACCAGGGGGTCTCCTGTTAGCCAAGGTTTTCTCCTTGCGGCTTTTCTGGAGGTGCGAACTCCCCTTCCTCCTAATGTATGAGTGAGCAGCTGTCCTCTGCCCA